GCCCATTAAAGCTAAAAGTCTTTAATTTTCTAATTTTTGCTTAAATACACGTATATTTACTTAGTTTCGATACAATACGACAATAAACTCCCTTTTAACATTTTGTTAAAAGATAAAAACAAATACATAAAAGGGTATCTCATCTCTCTCAAAATTTTTATCATAATTTATAATTAAAGAAAAGGAAAAACCCCAATCATATCTTATTTATAAGGAAATAAAACAAAGAAAAAACATTGCTTTATTTCTGTTTTCCAGTTGATTTTCCTTAGCTTAAATTTCATAAAAGGTATAGCAAAAACAAAAATGATAAAGCCAAAAAAAAATTACAAAAGTAAAATTGAAAACTGAAGATTGCCTAAAAGCATGATTAAAAACATTCCAAACTGTTCCTTCTACTTTTTAGTTTTTTTTCTTTGTCTGGAAAATTCCTTTCTTTTATGTTATCATTAAATGTACCGACACAAAATGTTGTTAATTGGGTATCAGAAATTTATCAATCCATTTGTAATAATATAGAAAAAGATATTTAGGCCTTTAATTTGTAAATTTTGAGGTATGTATTTAATTCGCTCTGTAATTTTTGGTTAAAATTTCTGTGTGTTCCAATAATATTTATTAATGTGTATAATAAAAACTGTATTTACTAAATATTTCCATTAAGTTTTGCTTACCATTAAGTAAGTAATATTTAAGTATGCGTTTGTAACTTTTAAATTGAACTCTGTTTGCAATTAAAATACTAAAATTTTACAAAATTTTGTTTTCTTTAAGGGTTATGTTAAAAATATAGAGTATAGATTATAAAGGGACTAAAAGTACTGAAAAGTTCTTTTTAATATTTTAAAATATAGATTTTTTTTTAATTTAAGCCCGAGTATTTTGGAATTAATCCCACAAGATTTAATTTTTATCCCTGGAAACAAAGCAATATTTTGCCGCAGTACAGAATTTCTAAATTTAGCTCAAAAACTATGCCTAAAGCTAGGTTTTATTACAATTTATGCAATTATTTGCATTTGTCCCGACCAAAAAATAATTTCCCTTCTTTTAACTCAAAAATAAATTATTTTCGTTTTTATTTTATTTTCATATTTACATTTGCTTGTGAAGGCTAATAGGACACGTAATTTAGTCTGTACAATCTACTTTTTTACTTTAATATAAAAATGGAAATTTTTGAAATTTTTAAGGATTATTTTTTCTAATTCTGCTTTATACAGAAAATAAAGAAATTTGAGTATGTATTACAAAAAAAAATTTTTGTTTTTGAACATTTCAGAACAATGTTAAAAAATTTAAAAATTCAAAAAGAAAATCTGGAAAACCAAAATAACAAAAAAAAAAATTATAAAAGTACCTTATGGCACTATTTAAGGTATTAAGGAATCAAAACCTTTGAAGAATTCTAAAATCTCCCACCATCTGCATGTTATTGTACACTTTAGTAATGATAATTTTATAATCTAAAAATAAAATAAGAAAATCTAGAATATGAAAAGACAAAATCCAGTTTTTTTGCATTCCAAGAATTTGTGTTGTTAATTAAGTTAATAAGGAAAAAAAATTTATATAAGTAAAAAGATATTTTTTCTGTTCTTTGTTTTCTTATAATTGAAACAAAATAATATGAAAATTGATTTTAATTGGTTATATTTAGATTAAAATTTTAAAGGACATTTGCCTCAAGGCCTTAATTTTTACAATAAATTTTTCTTTTTATAAAGTGGTAGTTAACTTTTTTATTGAAATTAAGACTAGATAGAGTACAGTTCATTTAACAAGGCTGCAGGATAATCAGAAAAAAAATGTATTAACTTGTATTGCACACCAAATTCGTCAACATACTTCTAAAATTCTCAACATGCGAAGGGCAGACGACAATTGTTCTCAATTATTTTCAAATATTTTATGTGTAAGAATTGCAACATACAGACTTAATTTGCCATCTTCGGAAACAAAGTTACCAAGTCGTAACCAAATTTCGTATGTTTTTGGAAAAAAGCAAAAAAAATATTTTTCTCATTCGAATATTATTACAAAAATTTGTAATGCTCTCACTCACTTCCTTTTCACGCGGTGAACAAAAATGCGATTCACAGAATGAAGCTCTATTCTTGTCAATCGTAAATGTTCAAATGAAATTCATATATACTTCAATCTTCGATACCTAGTGTATTGGGTGTAATGCACTAATACAAACCAAAATTTAGCAATCATAACTGTAATTGAAAATGTGTTTTTCTTATTTTCCTTCAACTTTGAAAAACTATTATCTATAATAATTCATTTTGCGAAAATACTTATGGCAATAAAGTTAAAAGTTTACAAATTAAAGTTTTATTATGAAAAAAGTCACGTTCTCGTATAATTTAAAATATTACTGCTCATATATAATACAAATACAGGTTACTTTTAAAGCGCAATAATTTAGAAAATAAGAAAATAGAAAAATTATTAAAAATATTAAAAAATTTTTGCTATTTTTTTTCAAATATAATGTGTTTTTGAATCAACATCTTCTGCAGAATTAACAAAAAATTATTTTATCAATCCCCTTGTTTAATTACATAAAATGAAAAACTTTTATCTTTTTCTGTATGTTATGAAAAATGTTTGAGTTACAAAAGCAATTATTATTAAAGTTGAAACTAATATTATAGTAATAAGAAATCTCTAAAATGTGAAAATGAATTTTGAAAAATTAAAACTATTAAAACAAAAAAAAAGGACGTATGAAAAGTAATGAAATTAATGTTTTGTGTTTAAAAGCATGAAATTATTTTTGATAAATTTAGAAAATTAATTTCTTTTATCTCTTGATAAAATTTTGATTATGATAGTTATTGGTTTCGAAATTAATCAAAATGTAAAAGAATATTTGAAAAATTAGAGGAATTTTAACATTTTCTATAAATCAGAAATTAAAAAACTATAAAAATTTAATTATGAAGATAAGGCTGAGCGCATGTACACTGTAGCTTCAACAGATAAAGCTAAACTGCTTACTGTATTGCTAAGCAAATAGTGTTTCTTGTACAAAATTTTTTGAAATAGTGTTGCATCGGAGTTACTGTTTATACAAAAATTTAGATATTCATTTCATAAACTTTTTAAGATTAAGTATTTAGTTTGACTGATTAAAAAATAAAGTTAATTGAATTTCAAAATTTTTAAAACTAGGCACATACATGTACTGCTTCATTTAATCTTGAGCCCAAAATTCTAGAATTAAGATAATTAACTTAAGTATATTTCCGCGTCAAGATTCTAAATATTCTAATAACAAAAATTTAACTTGATTTTTTTTTTAAAAGCACTACTTGCAAAAAAAAAGAAATGCTTGCAACAGATAAAAAAACAAAAATTTAATTTCATTATTTTTGTTACTTTTTTACACATTCAATTATAATTTTTATATTTTTTATAGGATCGTTAAAAACTCCATAATTTCAAGGTTGTGTCTTTATAGTTAAAAATATCATCAATATTAATGAATATTTTCCTGACATTTAAATTATGACAACATCTTATATTATGCGTTTTTATATATTAAATGATGTGTTTCAACACAAAATTTGTTTTATTAAACACAACAATGATTAAAATTTGATTATCAACCAGTCATTTTATTTATTGAGGGAAAATATTCTTTTTTTTTTTATGAAAAATATTGTACAATATTATATAGCCCCTACATATAATAATATTTATAGTACCTTATTAAATTGGCTTTTCATGTTATGATTTTTATTACACTGCACATGCAAAGAATAAAAAAAAATAATAAAATTATAAAAATGTACAGAATGTAAAGAAATTATTTCTAAATGATTTAGGTGGAAATAAATTCTGTTCATCGAAATATACAAAAAAAAAACAACGTATTTTATTAACAAGAGAATTTTATTTAATTTTGGATGACTAAATGGCTATATTAATCCAATCTTTCTGCAACAACAGAATAACTAATAGACTTTAAGAATATATTTTGTAAGAGTAGAGTGATTCACAGAATTTATGTGAAATATTTTAATTAAAGAATTGAAAATTCTTCTTTAAACCTCAATTATATAATTTTTGAAAAAGGTTTTGAAACATACTTCGTTCTTGGTTTTTTTTTTCATTCTGTAATATCTAGCAACGTGTAACTCATATGAAACTTTTACATATAAATGTTATAAAATTTAGTTATAGAAAAATAGCAAATTTTATGACTCGTATAAACCTTTTTTAAGAGCTAATAAAAAAAAATAATGACAATTTTCTTCTTCATACGTAAATGTTCAGAGAGTTTTTTTTTAAGAATTAAATCGAGATTGCAAAAGATTTGTAGTTATTTTGAAAATTACATCATCCGTCGCCGTGTAATCATAAAATCGATAATTCCTGTCTTTTATATTTTTATAAAATTTAACTTAAGCTATTTAGCAAAATTCAACACACATTTATAATAAGTTTTAAGTTTAACAATAGGTAAAACACATGTTTCTATTGAAACTTTTAATGTTTTTTTTATTATTTTCAGAGATTGAGGAAGCTGAAAATTAAATCTCTAATGTTATAAAAAAAAAAAGAGAGAAGGAGCTTTAGTTCTGTTCTGTTCAAACACTTTAGTATTAAATGCAAATAAATATTCACGTTTCAAAGGTGCTCTAATGTGGAGCTCTGAACTCATTTAGCTTTAACATAGTTTTACTCAGTATTTAAATTAAATTCAGCCGCGATAAAATTTTTTTTCAAGAACTAATGAAATGTTTGTTCCAACACTGTGCACTGAAAAAAAATGGATTCTATCAAGAGACTCTAAAAGTGTTCGTTTAATTTTTTAATATTTGCGGAACACCACCTCTTTGTTCTTAACTATATTTTTAAGGTACTCATAGGACCCGCCTTGGATCCATAGATTTTGAAGGAAATTCCAATATAATTTTACGATTCTACAAAAAAAATACATTTAGTGAAAATTTTAAATTCTTTTTTTTTATATTATTACTTACAGCTTTTTTAGATTTTTGAATGACAAAATTTAATTTAAGACTTTCGATTCCCAATTTTATTTCTCTTCTATGGTAATTCATTTTTATTATTAGATTCTCGTTTTTCTTATTTTTGTTTTCCTGCTTTTCAATACAAATCCCTTATTAGGTTCCTTTTTCCTGTTTTTTTTTATTTTTTGGTTATCGCTACTCCTCGATATTGAAAATGACAAAGACGACGTGAAATGAAATATTTTCAGTATCAATTAAATTATGTCCTTTAAAATGTTGACTTTTCCGTTTTTTTCTCATTTTTTTGTTCTGTTTTTTATGTCATTGAAAATATTTTCGTATTGATATTTATTTATTTTGTTGCTAATGATGAGGAAGGGAGTGGCGGAGAGGATGATAAATGTATGCGTATTAAACTTTTCTGGAGGATTTTTTAAAATAAATTAAAAATTAATTTTCTTTTTTAAAATAATTAGCATTATAATTTCTATTGGATTATTAGTATTTTATTACAACAAATTGCCAGCTTATATTAAATTTTGAAAATGAAAAAAATTTTATTCACGTATTTCTTGTTTTAATTTTCAATTCAATTATGCTGAATTTACGATGATTTTGGTATGGTCGTGCTGTCAAGTTAATGAAGGATAACAAACTTTTTGTGTTGAATAATGGTTTTAAATTACGGTTCTCATTCCTCTTGGTTTAATATAATTTATTATAATTTGTATGTGCGGTCAACAAAATCATCTCCTTATATATAGTATGTTAATATACACAGCGTAAAATGTCAATAAAACAATAATTAAAATTAAATTTGAAAATTAATATGGTTTTTGTATTAAAAATAATGTTGTGACGTTGTGTAAATGTTGTGAGCAAATTTTAAAGAGTGTGTTTCACATTACAAGAATATTCACTTACAGAAGATTTGCTTACGCAAAAAATCTCATTAAACTTGAATTACCTGAAAATAAAAAAAAAAACAAAATTAATTGTTTTGTTAAATACATACATACATGCAAATACATGTGTAGATATAAAAAATTATTTCTATTCAAAACATATACATATGTACATATTTTTTTCAAATTGTAAACAATTATTATATTTTAAATCATATTTTATTTAATCTTTTGTGCCGGCATGTTTTATGCCATATTGTCAATCACATAATATAGCATAAATCCATGTAAGGTTTTGCTTTTAGCTAGAAATTCTAAAGAGATAGATGGAGCCATAAAAAAAATCGAATGGAAGAAACATTCAAAGTTATTTCCTATTCAAAACATGAGATTTACCATACATATATTTTTTTGCATTATTTTAGGTACCAATAACAACTTTAGTTATTAACACATGTATTGATTAAAAAAAAACTAATTCACTACCTACCAATATTAATAAAACATCGACTTTAACTAAGATTCAATTTTGCACTTTTTCTGCTACAAATTTTATGTTAATATTAAATCTAAGAAACTGATCCTGTACACCATACTTAAAAAATTAATACATATAACCTTTACATAACATAACAAAATACATATAACCTTTTAAAACTTCTAAACAAAATATATAATTTTTAATAAAAGATCTGATTTTTTTATTTTTTCTTTTAAATTTTCAAGAGCATCAATTTTTATAATTATATATTGACAGAATTGGTTGCAATATATAAACATTTTGTGTATTGCTATCAAGACACAAAAGCAATATTGTATGTGAAAATGGGATAGTTTAAATTGATATCTTGGGGTTTAGCCTTATTTCATATTAACGGTAATAAAGTACAAGAGACCGTAATTGTGAAGAATATTCCACTAAAATGTGAAGAATATGTGACCATTGAAAATTGCGATCTGTTTTTTGAATGACTGAGAATTTTATCTAACGTTTTCTTAACTAAATATTCTTCAATATTTAAAATTTGTATTTTGAACGGTTATCGAACAAAGGAATACACAAACAATTAAATGAAGAATAATAACACAAACATATCATAAGTACAAAGGTACTTGATCTACTTCAAGACATTTTCAAATTCAGAAACACTATGGTTTTATAGAATTTCTTCATTGTTATTTTTCTAAAAAATTATTTCTTATCGCAGAAAAAACTTTTTTGTCAACTTTCTTTCTTATCAATTCAATCTTTATATATAAAAAAAGTTATTTATTAACATACAAAATTTTTAATTTGCTTAATAAATATTAATAATGTAATAACGCAAATGTCTTGGAAAGAGAAGAATTAAACTTTGTTAAATGATGTCTAAAATGCTCTGCTTGCTGCAAAACGAAGTTCTTCATTGAACAATATCTAATGGAAGATTGGCAGGTTTTCCAACTTATAAAACTAGAAAGATTTATGAAGTACTCGTATTTATTACTTAGATAAAAAATAAATTCATAGGCAAACCCAAATTCTGATAATAAATTTCTAAGCATAAATAGCAAAATTCTAATCAATATTTAACGAAAAAAAGTGTTTTTAAGATCAAAAAAAGCAAATACTATTGAATGCAACAAAATAAATATTTTCTTTCCATTTTTATCCCATATACCCAGGTTTCAGACGACTTCATTTCCAACTTTCTAATTTTACATTCAAGTTAACAACATAAAAAAAATGGAAAGAAATTCCAAAAAATATTTTTAAAGATATAAAAAAAAATAAAACAAAATAACTACAAATCTTTTGCAACCAGCAGGTTTACACCATACATATTCTGTCTTTTTTTTTAAATTTCGCTTCTCTTTTCTTTAATAATATGTGCTTTTATTTTAATTTTCATCAAATGAAAAAACAAAATATCCTTTAAGTGATTTATAATACAGTAGCACTCTTCGAGTGCGAAGTAGACAAAACTTGTAAAATTCTTAATAAGAAAATATGCGCCTTCTAATACCTAAGTAAATTTTTTGAAGAAAACTAAGGGACCAAATTCTTTATACAATTTGAAGAGAAGATGCGATATTTTTCAAATTTATTTAAAGCAAAAGTTAGTTTAAATATTGAGTTCAGTACTTCGTGCATGAGTAGTACAGAAGCAAGTGCTAGTGTTACTAGCAATTTGGTTAAGTTTTCTTAACTATTATGGAACGATTACGTACGCATCGTAAAATCAAGATATTACTGTACAAATTGTATGATTTTTTATTGAAGTTGAATCCTGAAATGATTTCCATGTTTTGTATTGTGTTTCATATTCATTCTCTTTCTCTAGAGAGTTTTAAAAATAAAATCCATTTGAAAAATGGTACAAATATCCTTGAGAATGTACTCGCACTCACTATGTATGTATGCATCATAATATACATACATATGTATATAGTGAAAAAATACATAAGTGTAAATATTATTTATAGGTGTATAAAGAAATCAATTTGGATAATCCAAATGTATGTCTGCTTGTGTGTATTTTTAATAGGAAATACAATATCCTTACTGTTTCATTTTTTTATTGATATTTATTTTACTTATTTTTATATTTATTATTGCTTGTATATGCTTACATATAATGTGCTAACATTATTTTTATCACTACAGTAAATGGACAGAAGGTATAGGCAAAATTTCAAGTGATATTTTAATTGATTTTTATCATTGCCAAATAGTACTCCCATATAAGGACCTTTAAAAATAAACCTATACATTTTCATATATATGTGTGTAATTATGTATATTTTCATAATACAGTGTTATTTTGTAAAATTTATTTTGAATATTTTGAACTACTTTGTAAAAATATCTAATTTAAAGTTTTGTTTTGCTTAATAAATGCTTGAAGGAACATAATAGAAAAGTAAAATAAATACAAGTTTTATAAAGAATGATCAATATGGAGACACGATATAAACTTCTTGTTTACAGTAGAATTTTGCAATATACATATATCGGAGTGATTTGAATAATGCAATTTAAAACTCTGTTTTAATCAAATCTATATATTAATAATATTGTAAAATTGGCATACACATATTACATTTTACATATATGCACAAAATTCAAAATTTCACCAATCACTCTGTTCAAATATTTTTTCAACAAAAGCCATTCAGAGAATCAAACGCATCTACTAAAAGGTAATTACAATATTAATTTTTTTTAATTTCCACCTATTTTATTTATTAAATTTAAATGATTTGCAATATCTAAATTTTTGAAAATTTGATTGAGTTTTCAAACGAAATGTTAAAATAATCACAACGCAATGAGGGGACATATCGAAGACATAAAGTTAGGCAAATTTGTTGTACAATATTAATTATAGTAGTGAAATTAAAATTGGAGTTAAAAGTACGATAATTACCCAAATTTTGATGAATGAATAGCTCAATTTTATATTGGTCCCCAAGTGTTTGGTCAAATTTAAATTCAAATGTTTTTAATAAAACAAAGTAAACTTTGGACAACTTCCACATTTTACATATGAAGTTCTTAAAACTGCATATAAAAATTATGAGTTTTTTTTTCTAAAAAAATTCCATCCTTTTTTTGATTTAAATTATTTTATCATAAACTTTGTCTTTCAGATCAAATAAATTCAAACATTTACACCATCATTACATAACAAAAAATCTTTCAGTCTCTTTTATATCTTGTATCAATTTATCGGACATGTTAGACGACATTAGGGATATGCATCAATATGAATCAAAATATTGTTATAAAACAATATTTTATTCATATTGATGTTTGTTTTTTACTTTCCTTTGTTTCTCAGTGATTCTTTTGAATGTTATTTTGAATTCTTTTGAAATTTCATTTTAATTTTCAATTAAAGTTTTATTTATTTTATTTTTCTCGTACATATAGCTTGTCATATTCGACATCTATTGTGTATGTAGAAGTTAAATATATAACTATGTTGTATGCGAATTCAGGAACCTAAAAAAAAGTTGTTAAAATACATATGCTAGATTTTTACTGTTTCACTTTTATTTGAGTTTTAAGAATTGCAAGGTGTAAAACATTGTCCTCTTGTCAGAACAATTTTTTTCTCCAACTAAAAGTGAAACATAATATTTCAAATTTTTATGCTAATCCTCATGTTTTATCTGACAAATCAATAATTTTATGAAGAAAATTATATGATTCAATAGTATTTCAATTGGGTACCCATTATAGTATCCATAATGAATTATAAAATGAATAAAAAAATCTCCATCACTTGTTTTACTTAATATTTTCTTGGACCCTATACCACTTTAACGCAATTTGTATAGTGAAATTTTAAAATTACCACAACGAATGGAAGAGAAAACATGAAATTCAAAAATTAAAACCCCTAAAGTTATGCAATTTGTTATTATTACTTTTTTCCTATCCATCGTTGTAGCTATGTTTTATTTGATTTTTTATTTAATTCCAATTTTTATGTTCTTTAGGGATTAAACATACGTTTCCCATTCTATT